GAGCCTTCAGCTGCCCCTGAGGCTGCACCTTCACCAATGGCTTCTCCCTGCCTCTCACAGCACTAAGCCTCAGCTACTCTCCACGACCCCCTCATGTCTTCAGAACCAGTACCACCGGGGTGAGTCTTACACTACCAAGCCCAGCTGCCAATCTGAGGTACAACTGTGGCTGCCTCTGGAACACAGCTCCTCTGTGCTCTTTGGAAACACTTCCCAGAAGATTTCACCTCAGTGACGCTGGTTAGTTTTTAATCACTGCTGAATTCTTAGCTCCAGCTGACCCAGTAAAGCAAAGATTTCACTTCAGTAATTCTGGAATCTTGTTAATCACAGCTAACTAAGTGTTCAGCCCCAGCTAACCAGAACCAGAGAATCTCAAATCAAAATAGCAAACAGCCCTGATAGAGTCTTTAATCTTCCCTCTGAAACTTTGCAAGCCAGGCCTCCATCTTCTGCACTGCTAGCAACATTTTTATCTTCCAAGCTCCTACAGAGCATCTCCCACAGAGCTTTTAACATGCACAGGTTCTTCTAGCCCAAAGTTCCAGAGTCCTTCCACAGTCCCCCCCAAACCATGGTGAGGGCTGTCACAGCAACATCCTGCTACACAGATACCAATTCGTCTTAGGATTTCTATTTTTGCTGTTCCTATCCTGACTTCCTTTGATAATGAACAGTGATGTGGAGGCCAAAGAAACCTTTTCCTTCGCAACTTGTTTTTGGTCATGGTGTTTTGTTGCAGCAATAGACACCGTAATGAAGACACTACTGAGTAGGAAAGAAAAATCAGTACAATTCTACTTGGTAATTTGGCAAGTTACATACATTCCTTTAAAATACATTGGTCTTTATTTTAGCAATCCTACTGAAGGCAAAGTGAGATTATGGGCATACTCAAGACATGGTGAAAATTGGAAATATAAGAAGGGCTAGCGTAGAAAACGATGACGTTCATAACGCAGCTCAGCATGAAGGCTCAGGTACATTAAAACCCCATGAATGGAAGACTGCCAAGCTGCCTGTGTGTGGAGACAAAACTTTTAAAAATACAAATCAGAACTCGGCACACATAAAGCCTATGGAGGTGGGGAAGAATGTGAAAAGAAATCATGCTAATAGTATTTATGTCCAAGTCATAACATAATTTAATTTTCTTTATTTCCTTCCTTCCTTCCTCCCTTCCTTCTTTCTTTCTTTTTCAAGACAGGTTTCTCTGTGTAGACTCTGACTGTCCTGGACTTACTTTGTAGACCAGACTGGCCTTGAACTCACAGAGATCCACCTGCCTCTGCTTTACTGAGTGCTGGGACTAAAGGCGTGTGCCACCACGCCCATCTTTAATTTTCTTGCTTATGCTTGCAGGGTTTTTACAAAACTTTGAGACTTTTATCAAATCTTTTATTCTCTCAGACTATTACCTTGAAATCTTGTAAACAGTTGTTTTTGCCAGGATTGCAGCCTGAGAGGGAGGTGGGCATCAACTCCCCCTCTCGCTGAAGCAATGGATAGTTGCTGGGAGGGGGAGAGTCGGTTTTCTCTGAGGGTGGAGCCCTTGGTAGATGAACACCCTCCAGTGGGAGGTCACGTACCCAGGGGTGTACAGAAAGCACAAATTGGACCTGAGGGGGAAAAAAGGAGGATACTAAAGTGGGTGGGCAGGGAAGAGGCTGGATCAGGGAGGAATGGGGGAGGGGTGAATACAATCAAAAGACGTTGTATAGAATTCTCAAAGAACTGGTAAGTTTTAAAAACTTTAAAGTTCTCTTAAAGCATACCCCACATAAAGTTCTGTATGCGAATAAGCAAGCTTTTGTTGTCTCTAATATTACCTCACACATAGAGGCCAGCCTCTGCGACAGGGTGGTGGAGAATTGACATGCATGGATTAGGTCCTATCCTACAAATGCTCTGACAGCTTGTGTGTCTGTGTCGAGAAGACTGTCATTCAGCCACCTCGCAGCTATGAAGACTCCTATGAGTCTTGCTGAAACCTTAAAACCTTAGACCACACATTCTGCGAAATAGCCCTGGACTTTAGTGCATATATAAGCCAGGGAGTGGGACGGGGGGTGGGGGGGGCACTGGAAAATTCAGAAGTTCAGATTTTTTTAAAGTATGAGGAGACAAGAGTAAGAATTCGTTTAATACATCAAAAACAAAGTGAAAGGAAAAAGAACAGTTGGCATAACTCCTATTTCAAAACCGGAAAAGGTGGTGGGTGGAGGGAGCGCTATGAAAGTTAAATCGACAAGAAAGGGAAGGGTAGGAAGTTACCAGTAAGGGCAAGAGCAGGAAAGGGTCTGCAATCAAGTCAACACAAAAACAAAGCAGGAGAAACCTGTCCCTGTCAGTGCCAGCCACCTGCTGGAGTCAAAGTTACAGAGAGTTTGGGAATCTGGCCTCAGGCACTCCCGCCACTTAAATAATGTTCATTCAGAGTCCTTTCTGGACAACTAGTGCAGGGAAAACGAGTTCAGTAAGAGTGACCAAACGAAGCCCTTCCTCCAAAATGCTCATGACTTAGAGAGGAGGTAAAGACTAATCAAAGATTATAGTGCCACATGACGGGGAAACCACACACACTACTTCAAACTTTGTGAAAGGAGAAAACAGCCCAAACCAGTTCAAAACAATAACAAGGCAAGCGAGTCGGCTCACTCCCGTGGCTACCGCTGGAATGCAGCTGTCTTCTGTCTACCGTAACTCACAGGATCTGTCCTGCCATAGAACTGTTTTGCAAAAATTTCAAAGGAAGGTATTCCCTCACTGACGTTAGCATTTTCCTTCTCATTTGAAAGGACCACACAATAACTTGAAAAACGCAGAAAAACCTTCTTACTTACCAAGACTTCCTTCTCCAAAGAGAAAGTAAACTCCAAAGCTCTCTGAAAAAATACGCGCTTGACCAACCAGTCCTTGGCCCGGGAGCAGCGGTTCTTAGGAGGGGCTTGGCGCCACCTCTTGGCAGTCTGTGGAATTACCCATGTATAAAACCATCGCAAAGCAGAGCCGTCTTCTGAGCCGCAGTCGGTAAATCCTTACTGCGGTGGATTAATCCGGATTCGTATAAGCGAGTAGATTGTGAAATGTTCGGTCTTACTGTAAGTATTTATTTATGGCATTTTTTTTTTTGCGTTTTCAGGCTGAATTTTAAATCTCAACCAGGATAGAAAATTATGAAACGCAGTTCCCTGTTGTGACAGTCCTTCATATCCCCACCACCACGCACACAATCCCCCAAATTACCACTGTCGTTCAAGCAGGGGTTGAGCATCTTGGGACTGAAGATACTTTAAAAATGAGCTTAAGCCCATGGCTTGCTCTTTGGAAAGTCAGTTTTCGAGAGTTTTGCAGCTGATACACCTTTAGCCCGACTCCAGTTTCACCAACACTTAATACTATTGGGCATTTTAATTTTTAATTCTGGAAGAGCAAGCGACACTGGGATCCTTCTAAACCAGCTTAGAAATTGGTTTTCTAAAGGCAGTTTGGAATTTGAGGACACTTTCTGCCAAGGCTGAAGGCAAAGAGAAGGAAGGGCTAGCCAGACACTTGAAGCAGGTGGCCCTGGCAAAGGACTGAACACATTCGCTAAATGACCATCCCTAATTGATCGCACTGGCTGTCACCCTCTCATCTTTACAAAACAAGCAAACAAACAAGCAAACAGAGCAAAGCACATTACGACTGCACGTTGGCTGTTATGAGGGTGAAATCACTTCTGCTTTCTGGAGAAAGGGAAGAACAGCACCTTACTGTTCATCCTTACTCATCAACCGGAAGAGGAAGTCTTCTCAGAATGGGTCGGGCTCAGCAAGGAGGGACGGGGAAAGCTGGCGGCTAGTGAGCATGAGGAGAGATGCTGGGGGATCTGATGAGAGACATAGGCAGAGAGGACAGGAGCCAGTGAGATTCGGGGGTTGCAGGCAGCATGGAGCCTACTTCTTAGAAAACACACGATACAGATATATACATATGCACAGGTCTGCGCGCGCGCGCACACACACACACACACACACACACACACACACATGTGCGCGTACCACTGAAGACCGGTCACACGACTCACGTCTCAATTGTATTGCATAATACAGCCTCTTGCTGAGGCTGTCACAACTCTAAGGGCAAGATAAAGCCAACCACGTAACTAACATGGAGGGGACAGTGTGACAGGGAAACGAGAAGAGAACAGGCTGGGCTGAGTCCCTCGCCTGCCACTTGCTAACTGGGCGGCATTGGGCAAGTCGTGTAACCTCACTGAGGTTGTTTCTTTATCTACAGAGTGGCCAGAGCCGTGGGCTTTTAGGGACGGTAATGGAAGTCTAGTCCCTGGAAGGTGGCTGACACAAAAGAAGAGGAGGAGACTGCTCTGGAAAGCTTTCAAATGGGGAGGTAGAATAGGACACTGTGACCGAATGAAGCAGCGCAGGATGCAGGCCATGGCCTGGCACACCCGTGCGGGGCTTGTCTTGCTGCCAGCTTTACGCCAGGCACTTTTCAAGTACTCACTAGCACTCACAACGGTGAGATAAGCATCTCCATCACCCCACCCGACCTGCTTCAGCAGCAGCTAGGACTCGGGCTGGCCAGGGCGGGCAGCCCCAAGACCGCACACTCCATCCGTGTAGCTGTGTGCCAGGTCCCAAGACCCACATAAGGGAGCACAGAGACTCGCCCGTTACACTGACCAGCAGGGTCCCAGCTGATGAATGCCGGCAGCCGGAAGGTAGAGGGAGCATCTCTGCCTCCATGTCTGCTTTTCTGACTTCTCAAGCCGTAAGAACAAATTGCTGTTGTTTCAAGCCACATGCCTGAGGGAAATGTAGTATGTCAGCCACAGGAGACTAACGGCAGGATTGCACACACATGCTGAAACACACACAGTACTCTTCTCAGAGGTTGCCTCAGAGCTGTGGCTTCCAGCAGAGCTAAGAAAGATTCCCACTCACCATTTTATGTCCTTTTAACCTTTAAAAAATGCCGTGTGTGTGTGTGTGTGTGTGTGTGTGTGTGTGTGTGTGTGTGTATGGTATTTAAAAAAAATAGCATCTCAGAGGTGGGCCTCAGATTTGCAATCCTCCTGCCTCAGCTCCCCAGTGTTGACATTGCAAGCATGTGCCACCCTATCCAACTTTATGGGTTATGTTACTTTAATTTTTTCAAATTAAAATGCTAAATTGGGAAAATAAGACAACATAGCCCAAAGCCAGCTAATATAGTGTCCAATTCAGACAGAAACAAAACATTATTAAGTATTGGTATTAAAAATAACATTTGCAGGCTGGAACGATGGCTCAGCGGTTAAGAGCACTGACTGCTCTTCCAGAGGTCCTGTGTTCAATTCCCAGCAACCACACGGTGGCTCATAACCATCTGTAATGGAATCTGATTTCCTCTTCTGGTGTGTGTGTGTGTGAAAACAGAGAATTCATATACATAAAATAAGGAAATTTAAAAAAATTTGTGCCAAGCATTGGTGGCCCACACCTTTAATCCCAGCACTTGGGAGGCAGAGGCCAGTGGGTTTCTGTGAGTTTGAGGCTAGCCTGGTCCACAGAGTGAGTTCCAGGACAGCCAGGGCTGTTACACAGAGAAACCCTGTGTTGATAAACCAAAATAAGTAAGTAAGTAAGTAAGTAAACAACATTTGCCGTTGGCTTCGCGGAGTGTATCTATAGTACATACAACTGTCGAATAGCATCCAGAATTTATAAGGCTTTCAACAAATCAATGTAAGTGTAACAGAAACGGAAAGGGGGAGGGCGAAGTAAGCCAAAGACATAAATAGATGGATAACGAGGCCGTAGAAACGGCTCTAACACGAGAAAATACAGCCAAGCGTCCTCACGAACTGCGGGAAAATAGGCTCAGACACTGCCCCTGGTCGCACATCACTGCGCACTGGCCCGGGCTTATTTCCTAGCTGAACGACAGAGGGTGTCTGTCCTTGCCTTCCTTATTCCCCATCTCTGTCTTCCCGCCAACACTTGAAACCGGTCCTTGAAATCGGTCACCTGCTGACATCCACCACCCTGTCCGACGTTCGGATTCGGGGTTTCGTTCACCGAGTTGAGCTATCGGCGCTTTGCTAACTCTAGGGTTTGTAGCAGCTCCATGATCTGACTTGTCCGCGTTCCGATTTCCATTTCCACCCCAAGTCCTTCCCTCTGACGCCAGGAATCCCCCCGCTCACTGCGCTGGTCAGAAACACCGCCGCTCGCCCCTTCACTGTCGCTCTGCATGCACACTCAGCTGCCCATTCCTCTCTCCGCAGTCCGAGTTAAGCCGCTCTCTGCCCTGGACCTCAGAGCAAAGACCACGCCACCGCGGCAGAGCTCATGTGGACTGCACTCTGTGTCCTGTCCTCCAGGGGGCGCGATGCTACCAGCCTTCTCGCGGCCCTCCGCGCCTCACCTAACCTTTCTCACCACTCCCCTTGTCCCGTTACTTGTCTGACACTTCTCTCCCTCTTCATTCTTGGCTGATGGCTGCACAAAGAAAACAGCCCCCAGAAGAAGAGCGCTACCTTCCGCCAAGCTCTGCCACCCTAGCTGAACCCTGGAAGGAAGGACTCCCTTTTGCCTGGTCTACTCAGTAAGTCTCCCTTGCAATTATCCTCTCTCTGCTTTAAAGTCAACATTATCTTCCCTACTGTAAAATTTCAGCCTGGACACAACACTGCAATTTCTTCACCTCTAAAAGGCAAATCCCTTCCGTTAAAGACACAGTCTCCCCATCCTTGTTTCCCCTCACACCGGAACACGGCTGATCCCCCAACCCACACTGAACCATCGCTAATTATACTGTTCTCTCAAATGCCAATCAGATGTCCTTCCCTGCTGCTCAAGAGAGAGCTCTTTCCAAGGCCATTAAATGGGCTATCGTAATGCCAAACGCAATGGGCAAGTTTCATTTTTCATTTCATTTGAATCATCAAGAAGCATTTTATGTGGCTGAAACATCTTTTGTCGGGGGGGGGGGTATCAAGACAGGGTTTCTTTGTGTAGCCGTGGTTGTCCAGACTAGCTCTGTAGACCAGGCTGGCCTTGAACTCAGAGATCCGCTTGCCTCTGCCTCCCAAGTGCTGAGATTATTGGCGTGAGCGGTCACCGCCCAGCTTGCATGGCTGAAACATCTTAAAAGGTTTTCTTTCCGGGTGTTCTGGTCACCTGTCTTCCATCCCTTTTCTTTCTGGGTGTTCTGGCTGTTCTGCCTTCCTTGCCTTTTCTTTGAATTTCCTGTGAACTCATTGGCGTTCCTGCCCACTCTCTTGGGCCCTTTCTGTCTCAGATCTTCTGTTTTGAACTTCTCTTCTTAAGTGCAATGTGGCTCACGGCATCAGTACCAGCGACCCCCCAGTAACTGTCTCAAACCCAGACTTTCCTCAACTTCAGACTCCTCCACCCACCTGTCTGATAAACACTTGCCATTCTTGCTGAGACTGCTTGTTGAATCCTGCTGCCTTCACCTCCTATGCTGTGCTTTACATCCTTCCTCATCTGCCTTTGATCTCTCCGCTCTCCCAGAATCTCAGTCTGAGATCCTGGAGTAACTGGTAACTCCGTTCTCGTGTTGAAGCTATCAAAATTTACATCCTAGCCAAGAACACATTTTGCTGGGTTTTCTTCAAAATACGCCAAAGAGATTCATAAACAAAATGCTCTTGCTATGAATCTTATATTCTCATGAGGATGAGATGCCCAAGGTCAAGATCATCATCACCATCACTGCCTCACAGGGATAAGGGGAACAGTTCTTTATTGGCCTTTCCGTTCACCTCTGTTCATTCAGCCCCAACCACCTCAACACAACCAGAGTCAACACACTCTTCTGTTCACAGGGATAAGGGGAATAGTTCTTTATTGGCCTTTCCGTTCACCTCTGTTTATTCAGCCCTAACC